GCTGAGACACAATTTTCAAGTGACTGTAAACAATACAAATCGCGCTCAAATAACAAAACGTTCTGAAGAAGGTTATGGTCAAAAATGTCAAACTTTGTGGAAACGTCAGATGGCACCTGACAACACTCAGTGTTGCCAAGGCTCATAAGTAGTGCCCCTCGTACAGTAATGATGATTATTCTTTTCAAGTGTGTCGCAACCTATACAGCACAGAAAGATTGCAAAATGACTGCAGATATATCTCATTGTACCATTGTAATATTGGAAATAGATTGCGCAACGTATTTGTAACTGTTGCGAGTTTGAATTTTAAATCGAATGTCGCGCGCGATGTCGCTGCTGTGCAACCATGGTGTCCTACCACCTGGCCCCAGGGCGGCGCTTCCTGCACAGGCAGGTGGCGTTGCTAGGCCGCTCTCCCGGGGACTCTCTCCCTCGTTATTACTGCATCATGCTCGTTGCTCTCGATACATGGCCGGCCATCTTCTCTTGTGTGTGCTTTTCGCAGTGAGTACGTCTTTCGACGTCCCGTGGCAGATCGACGGTGTACATTCTGTTAGTACGTCATACGACGTCCCGTGCCGTGTCGGCGGTGTAAAGTCTGAAGTACGTCATTCGACGTCCCGTGGCCGTACGGCGGTGTAAACTCTGTTAGTACGTCATACGACGTCCCGTGCCGGAACGGCGGTGAGAACTCTGTAAGTACGTCATACGACGTCCCGTGCCGGAACGGCGGTGTAAACTCTGAAGCACGTCTTACGACGTCCCGAGCCTGAGAGGCGGTGTTTGGAAGCTCTGCTGTAAGTACGTCGTGGGAATCCCCACCCCTTCACTGGTGGTGTTTACGAGAACATCGTATGGAGATTCTGGCTCCTCATGTTATATTACATTTACTGTATTTGATTCTGACATCTTCATTAATATTATATTCATACATTAATTCTGTATTCTTGATAGATAACCTTTGCAATAAATTCTTACTTTCGTCTAACTCGTTCTTGGCCTTTCAGATCTACCTCTCTCGCCGCAGTGCGAACAGTAACAATTATTAAAAATAGTTCTTTTATAATTACGGAATATAATTTGAAATACAATTTGATATTGTTTAGATTAAACTCAGACTCATATAACTCATATTATTAAATATGTGTGCTCGTTATCGATTTACTTTCAACGATTATTTCCGTCGACAATTATTCTGTTCAAACCGCGCTTGTTACCGGTACCGACACTGTCAGGATTCATGATAGTGTTCTACCGATCAGCTGTTTACTTCGTGTCACACGATGTATACATTCACAACCTTTCCTTTGTTCTCGCGAAGCGAAGGATATCTCTCGATACGTGTGTGTATCTATCGCTTAACGATCAGTTCAGTTGACTTCGAATAAAGCTCAGCAGCACATCTCATTGTACATCGCTCTAGTTCTCTATTCTTTTCGACACCTTCTGACTCTTCGTGATTGTTCGCGTATAATTCCGACATCACCAGCGGACCTGGTTTCCGGTATCACTTTCCTTTCGCAATACTCACAACAGATATAAATAAAAAAAAATACAGAAAAAGAACTAACCAATATATATTTTATATAAGGAACAAATCAATATATAATTTTATACAATTATTATGTTTGATACTTAATTGCAAATTTTATATGCAGGTTCATTTTAGATAAATGCTAGAAGACTATGGGTAGAATTTACAAAATAATAGGTCATTTTGAAAGGAATTTAATAAGCTTTAAGATAATGTTATGTAAAATTTAATTCGAATTCTATTTTGAAAATTAGAAAAATGTAAAAAGCGAGCAAATCGCAAAGTCAAAAAATCGTACTTCTAATATAAGATGCCCCGAGAAATCGATAATAAAACGCAAAGTACATCAGTATTGCAATTAAAAACTTTTTTTAATGTTTTTAAAATACAGACACAATCAGCGTGCTTGAAAAATGAACATGTATTATACTCAGAACTCGTCTTTAGGTGGTTGGAACCAAGCATCGCAGAAATAGGTACACGATGTTCGGTTGTTCTTTTTATTATTGTACAATAACATTTATACTTTAATAACAATTTTCACTATGACATAGGAGCATAGGCGTGTGTGAAGTTGGCATCTCATCTTTTGGCACCACAAGTTTTGATAAGAGTTCCATTGGCACCCGCAATAGTTCTATAGTTCCTGATAGGTTTTATAAATAGTTCTGACGATTTAGTTAAAAAAAATAGTACTTGAAAATTTGAGGTGCTAACTTTCCGTGGCACCGCAAGACCATTCGAAAAAATCAATTGAAAACCAAGTAATCTTATAGTTCTCTATCTTATAGTTCGATGAGTTCTACAGTTCCTGATAGGTTTTAACAATATTTCCGGCCTCTAAGTAATTTTAAATAATAATTAAACCCGAGCGCTGGCACCGCACGTCAAGCGTAAAGTACCTTTTCGCAGCCAGTTCTGGCCGACTGTTTGCCATTTTCCGACAGTTCTACAATAGTTCCGAAGATATATGTAAGATTCGACCCGAGTACTCGTCGTTTAGTATGTTTAAATGATTTTTTAATCCGAGCGCTGGCACCGTAAACAATTTCTTGTTGTCATGTCACAGGAATCGTATGCTACGGGGTTGCAAAAAATTTTATTTCGTTTTTCGAGTCGAAGTACGGCACATCGTTAAAATAGATCCAAATAAATTTTAAATAAACCGTTTTAAAGATCAGATTTCAATTCATATACTGACTCGAAAAACGAAATAAAATTTTTTGCATATGATAATATAATATAATATAATAATTTTTCATATATGATTATGTATAAATATATATAAACATACATAATAAAATAAATTATATTTGTTTATGAACATTTATACACATAAACATATACAGGGTGTTCGATAATTAATGAAAAATTTTCTCGCAAAGGGGTAGAATGGACTAAACTGAGAAGAAAAGTTCTCTACCATTTTACAATTTTCACAATAGTTAACGAGATATTAATTGATAAAAATATGCAAATTTTCGCCCGGCCCATCGCCAAATGCAAGCGCGCGGCTGGATAATGCCGATATCACACTAGCGATTGGAGATTGCGTCTGCGTTCACATTTGCGCTTGCGATTAGACATTTTTCAATCACACTAGCGACGATTAGCGATTACGGCTGCTTTCCTTTTAGGAGACACAGTCGACACAAGTGTCGCTCTATCTTTGTCACTCTCTGAATGTCAAGAAGGATAGAACGACGCTTGTGTCGACTTGTGTCAATTTGTCATCAAATGGAAAGCAGTGTACATTTCATTAGATATTTTCTGCAACGCATGTGGAGAAAAACTATAAAGAAGGAATTATATTATTTTATATTTGCAAACATCATTAATTATAATTTACTGATTATGTGAGATATAAAAATGGATCTTCATAGGAAAAAGAAAATTTGCACTATTTTGATGGTTTTAATGTTGAAGTCACAATATGATATTATGACAAAGAAAAAGGTACTTCGTAAAAGAAGACTGTGGATTAAATCTTGGAAAGCTAGGAGGAGAGAAAGAGATTGTTTCCGTAATCTCTTTCTGGAATTACAATTAGAAGATCCAGAGAAGTATCGCAGATATGTAAATTAAATCTTCTTTTCTGGCTGTATACATATAGATTACACAGGTCAACAAGGTTTTGTTGTTGGGAAGCTGTGGGTCATTTCCGACGTAATTTTCTGCGTAGAATCCGAATCTGAAATCAGAATTGGTCTATCACGTCAGGATTTTGAGATATTTGAGGATATATATTCGAAAAATGCGTTTTTTTGCTATTTTCGAAGTTATAATCATTAGAGTTTTCCACGTCTAGTGAAGAAAGAAAAACCGATATTTGTCAATAAACAAACAACTTATTATTTTTTTTATACACACCTGCAAAATATCCTTTTTTATGCATTCAGGTGCTTCGTTTATCGAGCGAATTTCGAGCATCCTAAAACTTTCAGCGAGAAAGTTGTTCATTCGGATATGAACAAATGTTCTGGAAAGTTTCATTTTCATTGCATTAATAAGTTTAAAACTAATGATTTGTTTAAAGTTGGTAGACGCCTTGCACTCAGAGCCGCAGCGCACAAGACGCGCTGTCCGTTATTCAAGGTCCTAATATATAAACAGTCACAATTGTGACTGTTTGCTGTCTTAACAATGGCCCCGCGTAAGTGTTTAAATGATCCTAACAGTTTTTGTTATATTTGTGGTCGTTTCACGTTTGTTAAGAACAGGATAAAGCTTGAAGATAATGTGAAATCATTTTACCGCAATTACTTCAACATTTCGATATCCAATCAAGATAAGTCTTGGGCTCCACACGTAGCTTGTAAATCATGTGTTGAGTCATTAAGGCGTTGGAACAATGCCAAAAGTAAAATGCCCGTAACTTGGCGAAAAAAAATCGTAGGTAGTCGATCAATATCTCATTTTGAAGGGTAAGAATATTACTAAATGATGCAAATAGCACAAAAGACCCAAAAAATTGGTTGCGTCCTGTACATAACCTCTAAAGTAGCATAAAAACGCATTTTTCGAGTATATATCCCCTAATATCTCAAAATCCTGACGTGATGGGCCAATTCTGGTTTCAGATTCGGATTCTACGCAGAAAATTACTTCGGAAATGACCCACAGCTTCCCGACAACATCCAAGACCCCCTTTTTTGTAGACCTGTGTTATAATTAATACAAGTAGAATACAAGACTGTAATTTAACTACAGTTTATCAACTGATAGGAGGTAATTGAATATAATCGTTTTAAAGAAATACTACGTTTTATTGTCAGATGCCTTCGTATGAATTCAGATATATTTAAAGATCTTGTGGAAAAATTGAGTCCACTAATTAAAAGACAGAATACTCATCTTCGGGACAGCATTTCTTCTGCAGAAAGGCTTGCTGTGACATTGCGCCATTTGGTAACAGGTAGTTGATCAAGTTAATTTCAAGCAAATTAGATATTTTGGTACAATCTATTTTATATCAAGTAAAAATGTTTGTTATCTTTTGTATATAGGTGAAACTCAAGAATCATTATCTTATAGTTTTCGTCTCGGACAAAGTACTATATCTGGGATTATAAAGGATACTTGTCGTGCCCTCGTTTCTGTTTTGCAAGACGAATATCTTAAATTTCCTGACAGTAAATTGGCTTGGAAAGCAATTGCCTATGACTATATGGAGAGATGGAATTTTCCGAATTGTTTGGGTGTTATGGATGGTAAACATATTCGGATAGATCCTCCATTACGGTCTGGTTCTTCATACTTTAATTACAAGGAAACATTCAGTATTGTGCTTTTAGCACTTGTGGATGCTCAACTTCGATTTATATTTGTCGATGTTGGTACAAATGGGCGAGTTTCTGATAGAGGAATATGGAACAAATGTCCCTTAAAACATTATTTGGAGATAAATAATGATATACCTCTACCAAGTTTCTTACCAGATACTGAACAAGATTTTCCATATGTAATCATAGCGAATGAAGGTTTTACTCTCTCTACAAATATGATAATACCCTATCCTAAGCAACAATGTACAGGCAAAAAAGAAAGAAGAATTTATAATTACACGTAAGTAGAAATAAAGAAATAACTTTCTTATAAATCAGAGATGCATTTATTATTAATAAATGCTTCTTTTATTAATTAAATTTTTTTATTTAATAATAATTGCAGATTATCTAGAGGAAGACGGACTTCGGAAAATGGATTTGGAACCATGGTCAGCAGATTTAATATACTCAGGTCTCCTCTAAGATATGACCCAGATGACGCTCGTTGGATTGTACTGGCAATTTGTTGTCTTCATAATATGTTGAGGTCTCACAGTGTAGGCCGCATAATGTATACCCCACCAGGATATATTGATAAGGAAGATGAAAAGACAGGTCAACTTCAATATGGCGAATGGCGAAATGAACAAGGGCAAGGTTTACTAAATTTGCAACATCAAGGAGGCAATCGCCATGCTTCTGCTGCTATAGCTATGCGAGAGACTTTATGTGAATATTTTAATACCGTTGGAAGAGTGTCATAGCAAGATGAAGCAATTCGTTAAAAATATGATATACTTTTGTATAACTTCTTTCTTTCTTGTATTTTGTAGTTTTAATATACATTAATATACATTAATATACTTTGAAATGTCAAATATAATTATGAAGTTTGTATATCAAAAATACTTATAAACTAATAAATAAACAATGTTTCTGAGAAATGCACAGCTACTTAAATACTAGATCTATAATAATTAGATATTTTTAATTGCGTATATATATTTTTGTGAATACATATTTACAACCTAATACCTAATTATTGCAGATGTAACAAGAATTTACATTTGAATATTTTTATTGCATAACTATATGTAATTTAATTGTATTGAATTGTAATTTCTTCTTTGGCAAATAAAAAGCTCAAATATGTAATATACAAGGTAATACAAATAAAAAACATAATAAGAGGTTATATATGATGGATAATAATGTTATATGTATTAAAACTGAGACAATACTTTTAATATTTCATTTTCACACAGCTTACGTTGATCAGTTGTCATTTCACGCAGTCTTGCTGCGATAAACAATCCTAATGAATGAGCAGAGTCAGTAGATACAGATGAGTTTGATGAATTAGTTGAATTATTTGGATCTTGTTTGCACAAAGTTTTAATAGCAGTGACTGCTTCTATCATTATCGCACTATTATCATTAGGATCAAAGTCAGCTTTTCTTTTAGTATATTCTCGTTTAGTGTACATACATCTTACTTTCGACATCTTTTATTTTAGAAGCAGATGAAGTAAATTCAGAGCTTGTTGATGCTGTTGAAGTAGAAACAGTTGCATTGTGTAAAGTTGTCTATAGGACAGGAGCACATATAGGTTGCAAAGGATGAAATGCAGAAGATGCTGGCTGCTATGAATACAGAAGAAAGATTAATATTCTGGAAGTTTATGATATCAACAAATAGTTTTAACTTACTGTGTTTGCAAAACTTACAGATGATACTGATAAATCTGTGGTACTATCGGATGATTCTTCAGTTGATGCAATCATAAATTTCTGCAATAAATTTCAGAAATAATATTTAATATACATATTACAAACAACTTCATTGTACTAATTCCTTATATAAAATTTGTTTAAATATTATCGAAGTAATAATAATTTTAATTCGTACTTCCATAGAGTCATTATAATAAATGTTTATAACTAGGAGTTCCTCTAACGATTTCTTTTTCCTGATTCTCCTCTGCTATATGTGGTTGACACTGTTTCACTGATTCATTTGAAGTCTGCTCTATCTGTGATACAATATCATCAAGCTTTTCTGGGAAAATAGTAAGATTTGTGGTGGAAGTATACTCTGAACTACTATTTTTTTGAGAAACTTTAACCGATCATATAAAGACCACTTAGGAGTGTAAATATCTGCAGTGTCTTTTCCGCTGCGTTTAGAACCCTTTACTCTCCTCAAATTTGACATAAAAGTGTCTCTCATACTTTTGAATCTTCTTGCTACAATAGGACCTATAAAAGAAGGAAATATTTTACTTTAGATGCATGTAATTTATTTGTATACATAACCTTTTCAACATGCATACTATAACATATTTTAGCTTTTGATAAAAATAATTTTCCAGTTTTTTTCTCTACATTAATACAACATTTACCTGAGAACTGAGGTCCTAAAGAACGAGCCACCTCTTCCCAAACTGCATCTTTTAGATCTACTCTTTTGTAGAGTTCAGAGGTGTAATCCCAAAGAATAGGTCTACAACTCAACTAAATCAATTAGTATAAATTCTATATCTTTTGTAAATATATCAGCTTTTTTCGGTGGCATAATTCACAGATATACATATATTTCACGTTTTTCCAATAGATTATTTTCTATTTTCGCGTTACGATACATGAACTGATCACGTAACTACAAAACCATTTTGTGATTGGTTGCGTTTGCGTCTACGATTACGAAAAATAGACAGATGTCTAATCAGGAATCGTGAATCGCAATCGCCAACATCTCTTTTCTTATTGGTTGAAAGACAATCGCAGGTACAAACGCGAACTCGATCTCCAATCGCTAGTGTGATACCGGCATAAGACCGCCCAGCGAGGCGCGTCGCGCGCGTTCGCCGTCGCTAGGCACTCGTTGTTTATAATAAGCGGCAATGAAAGAAAGTTTTTTTTTGGCGCGCGGTACTGCATGTAGACGCACACCGGCTCGCTGCTCATGCATGTATGCACGCATGCTTTCCACATACGTGCATGCAAAAATAAATTTTTCGTTCGAAGATTTCGTTTTGATATGAACAGAGAATAATCATAGCTCAAAGAATAATTATAGCTGAAAATTCGACGCCATTCGCGACAAAATGTCTAGCGACGACCATTGTCGCTTATTATAAACAACGAGTGCCTAGCGACGGGGAACGCGCGCGACGCGCCTCGCTGGGCGGTTTTATCCAGCCGCGCGCTTGCATTTGGCGATGGGCCGGGCGAATTTGCATATTTTTATCAATTAATATCTCGTTAACTATTGCAAAAATTGTAAAATGGTAGAGGACTTTTCTTCTCAGTTTAGTCCATTCTACCCCTCCGCGAGAAAATTTTTTATTAATTATCAAACACCCTGCATAAATATTCATAACCATATATGTTCATATATGTTCATACATCCTTCTTCCTTTTGTAAAATTACTTTTAAGTGTAATATAAGTAGTAATAATATTATGAAAACATTAAGAATAATTAAAAGGATAATTTTTTGAAGATGTGTGAACACATTCTAAATGCATAAAGGGAAACTCATATGTTTGTTATAACTGCAATTCGGATAACAATTCGAATTAGATAAAATATTATTTAGTAGAAAGTTATACATTTTTTATTTTATAATAAATGTTTGTGTTTAAAATACGTTTTTATAAAAGTTAATATGTAGCCAAAGATGTACCTTAAAATATACATTAATCTTCATTTTAATAATGTTAGTCAAATTACTCCATTAGTCATTTTATCTCGATTCCGGGGCTAGTTGAATCAGATGGAATGCATTAGAAAAATGCATTTTTTTTTCATATCATCAGTTTTCCCTTATTATTACAATATTATTAGATAGTCAAATGTATGTAGTAACTGGTGTAAAATTCATTTTTTCGATAAGTCTCTTAATTTCGTCTGTAAAAATTCGAAACTGAAAAATGAGTCTACTAACTTCGGTCTCCCCTAATGCTTTTACATTTTTACATTGTATCGTAATTAATCACTTGTAAGAAGATTTGTTGTAAAAAGAAACGTTGTTTTGTTTAAGAAACATGTGCGCGCAATGACAAGGAATCCTTTGGATTTAATATTTTATATTCCCAAGGAGCACAATCTATATGGATAA